GGCAGAAACAAATGACAGTTATTAAAATACAATAGCTTTTCTCCTTCCACAGAATAGAACTTGAGCTGACAGCTGTGTTTTGGTAGACTTTTCTATTTAATTTTTTGGTGACTTAATGGAATAAAGTCATGATTTCAGTCACAACAGTATATAGAAAAGATAATTTGAAGAGATAAATACACAGACAATTGCAAGGGTGAGAAAGTGCGGCAGAGTAAAATTTCCATATGACGGGACAAAGAATGACAAGCACAGTGGGACCATTTTTTGTCACTCCCAATTGAATGGGCACATCATATTTCATATTGGAACAAGGCAAGTCAGAAAGGGTTCAAGTTCCAGCCTCAGAGAATGCCTACAGGGGAGTCTCCCAATTTATTCTTTGGTCAGATGCATGTTTCTTCATCTCTACAGGGAACAAATGATTTCCATATATAAGTAAATATACCATTGATGAGAAGGTGCCAAAAATGTAAAGACATTTACCTGGGGAGCTATAGAGGGTCCCGTTCAGTTTTCTGTGTGTCTGTATGTGTGAGAAGCCCTTAGAACTAGGGAACTAGGTTGGCCTTTGACCTTTAAACTGTACATTTTCAGGGGAGCCTGGGTGGCTCAGTCGGGTAAAGCATCTGACTTTGGCTCAAGTCATGATCTTGCGGTTCGTGAATTCGAGCCCCGCATCAGGCTCTGTGCTGACAGCTCAGAGCCTGGAGCCTGTTTCAGATTCTCTGTCTTGCTCTGTCTCTCTCTCTGCCCCTCCTTCACTCATGCTCTGTCTCTCTGTCTCTCTCAAAAATAAACATTTAAAAAAATGTGAATTTTCAGGGCACCTGGGGGGCTCGGTCAGTTAAGCATCTGGCTCTTGTTTTCGCTCAGGTCATGATCCCACTGTTCATGATTTCGAATCCCACATCGGGCTCTGCCCTGACATCGAGGTGACTGCTCGGGATTTTTATTTTCCCTCTGTCTCTGCCCCTCCTCTGCTCGCTCGTGTTCTCTCTTTCTCTGTCCCCAATTCCAAATGAATAAATAAACTTAAAAAAAATAAACTGTACATGTTCACATGAAACAGATGTCATTAATGCCTTGCATTTGTGAGTGCATAGCTGACAAGGTCAGGAAAATCTCCAACCTCAGTGTCTCCTGGATTTAACTTCCGGGAGACAGAACTGAGATGCAATGACTAAAACAGAAGCTTAATTAATCACATTGCACCTGTTCTGCGGAAAGATTATACGAATGGAAGGAAACTGGTTGGATAGAAATTAGCCCAAAGATTCCATTCAAGCACCCCATGGAGAGAAGATGCTCTCTCAGGTCAACAAGAGCGTCCTAACTTGATTGACTCCCTGGGCACAGTAGGCTGCAGAACAAGACACCATTCTACCCTGGAACCCAGCAAGCCCCGAGAAGACGACTCACACTTTGCCTTCCTCTGTACTTGTCAGATCGGCACAAACATCCATTTCCCTTGAGAACAATGTTTCTCACTGCAAATGAATGCACTGCTTTCTGGAAAATGTTATTAGTCTGAATACACTGACATATACAACTCTGATACACTGACAGCATCAAGCTTGTCAGCCCACAGTGCTGAGGGCCCAAATTTTGTGCAGAGTTGATATCACTCTGCTTTCGAAGCTGTCTTAGTGTTCTTGAGGGGGTGGGCGTCCTGGGTGCCCCCGGCCCACCACCAGTGCCTCCTGCCCCTGGGCTCTGTGTCATGCTCCAGCTGCAGTCATTTTTATGGCTAGATGGGAAATTTGGGGTAAAGAAGTAAAGAGGAAAGGTTTGCACTCATAAGGGAACATTATGGAGAAATTCATAAAAAAGATGCAGGAGGGGCGCCTGGGTGGCTGAGTCGGTTAAGTGTCTGACTTCAGCTCAGGTCATGATCTCAGAGCTTGGAGCCTGCTTTGGATTCTGTGTCTCCCTCTCTTTCTGCCCCTCTCCTGCTCATGCTCTGTCTCTCGCTTTCTCTCTCTCAAAAATAAATACACATGAAAAAAATTGTATAAGTACACAGGATTATTTGAAAAAATCATATTTTCAAAGATCTCAAAGTTTTCTGTGTGGCACCATTTTATCTCTGAGGTGAACTTTGACCTCTGCACTGCAGAATCTAAGAGATGTCAGTTTTCAAATAGTCATTTGCTACACAATATTTCTTGTCACCATTACAGTTTTTAAAAGAATTTATTGCTTTGCATGTTATTTTGAACTTCATATCGTTGTTAGAACATGGTTTTGTACTGAAATTTATTGCATTAATAATTTGTTATTGTTGTCTTTGCTTTCTAAATTTTTGATTGATAATTTTCATTGTTATAACCTGCAAATTATCATAATTAATTTTAGTTAGCACAAAAATAAAAGCATTTCCTTTTATTTAAAATGTGTCTTTATTACTATTTTACCTAGTGGGTGAGAAACATCTAGACATATATAGATTTTAATCTTAGGACAACAGACAACCTGTGTACAAAAATGACTCCATCTGATGAATTAATTCTTATTAAATTGTATATTGTTTTAGTGTCAGCTCCAACTCGGTCAGTTCTACTTCTGTATAGTTTAATCAGCTTCTTCTGGATAGTTCTACCTTTAAAGGACAAATGAGAGATATGCATGCTTTCTAATATGTCCTAAATAAATAGATCACCAACATCCCTTGCTAATTTTATATGCAGAACTTTATCAAACTGATAAAAATGAAAGGCCTAATAATTAAGGAGCAAGATTCAAAGCTCTGTTCAACAGATCCCCGAGACTGTAAGTGATAAGGTCAAGGCCAAAGCGGAGACAGATCTACAAAGATAGAGAGTCAGAAAAAGATATGTGAGTGCCTCTCCTTTGTTGAGTTCCTTCTTTGGACCAATGCCCATAATTTTTTTTTCTCTTCATAACCGTAGCTTGGACTGGTACCTGAAGGAAGTGGATAATGAATGTAATTTCCACATTAAAAGACACACCAGATCCCAAATATTTCTTGTATTTGCACCGCCCCTTCCTGTGGTCAGGGCTCATGGACAGAATTCACCACCCACTGTTCCACGGGGTCTCTGGAAATGGTGTGATGAGGACCTTTTGTAAAAAGGCACAAAATAGCAAATGGGTTCATAAACAGCTAATACGTCAGTCAGTTGGTTGATCTTTTGAATAATAAAGTGAAGAGAAATTCTTTGGAAGGTACCACATCGTAGCCTATATCAGTGGACAAATATTGAATTTAGAGTAAATTACCTCTAAAGAGCCAGCGGTTTTACTTCTCCAAGCTCCAATGCACTTACCAGCAACCTAACTTTAATATCTCACACACAACTGATTTAAAAAAGAAGTCAAACTTTATAAGTAAATCGCGGAACATAATACCTGACACCAATCAGTCCTTTAATCAATGTTAGCTCTTATTATCACCTGCAGGATACATAAATTCACTCTGATAATTAATTTTTTCATCCAGCATCACTGCCACCTTAGTTTCAAGACAGTGTCCTCTGTGGCTCAGAGCCTGGCCCTGGAATGTTCTTCTCCTTTAGCACTAAAGATGTATTCACCCCATCTCTATTCCCATGGGCTTCCTTTCATTCAGTGAATTCATTGTTAATAATTCATATCTCAGTACACATCTACTATGGACCAGGCTCTGTGCAGGGCTCTATGGCTGGTTCAAGTTTCAGTAGGAGCAACCTGCCCTTCACACTTTCACTCAAAGTCATTATCGTCATTGCCATCACCATCGTAGCTTAAATACAATAGAGTAATTCCATCGTAGCTTACCTGCAATAGCGTGGTTCCTAAATGGTACAGGTTTTCACAAGCATGTTGGCAGATATGTAGAATTCTTCTCCACAACATTGTCTATGATTACAATTGTGGCCAATGATGTTTTATCGATTGGTACGTAATCACACACAAAAAAACCATAAATGGGCAAGCAGGTGCTATTTTATACTGAAGCTATAGCCAATAAGGCTAAAATTTGCTTCTTCAGGCTCTCATTAAAATAGACTTTTACGGGGCGCCTGGGTGGCTTAGTCGGTTAAGCGTCCGACTTTCGCTTAGGTCATGATCTCGCGGTTCGTGGGTTCGAGCCCTGCGTAGGGCTCTGTGCTGACTGCCAGCTCAGAGCCTGGAGCCTATTTCAGTCTGTGACTCCCTCTCTCTCTGACCCTCCCCTGTTCACGCTGTCTTTTTCTCTCTCCTAGAAATAAATAAAAACATTAAAAAAATAGACTTTTACTATTAAGTTTAGGAAAAAAAATCAGAAAATATTGGAACAAGAGGCAAAAACAGCTAGAAGAAGCTAAATTCAGAATTGGAGTTTCTAAATTTGACTAAGGCAGAAAGTGGTTGTTATTTTTGCAGAAACCCCAAAGAGATATTCCAATATTCAGTAAACATATCGGTGGATAAAAATATAGAGAGGAGGGGCGTCTGGGTGGCTCAGTCAGTTAAGCATCTGACTTCGGCTCAGGTCATGATTTTATGGTTCATGAGTTCGAGCCCAGCATCGGGCTCTGTGCTGACAGCTCAGCGCCTAGAGCCGCTTCAGATTCTGTATCGCCCTCTCTCTGCCCTTTCCCTGCTGACATTCTCTGTGTGTGTATCTCTCACTCTCTCTCAAAAATAAATAAACATTAAAAAAATTTAAAACATATAGGAAGTTAAAATGTGAAGAGCTAACGCTGTCATTTCTAGGCTCATTCTTTCTTTTGTCCTTCCTCTGGATCGTCCGTTCCTTTCTCAAAGAGGATAAGAAATTCCGCATTATTCCTGACAATCCAGGGCTCCTCTCTACATTGAATAGAGCAGTGCGTGGAAAAGCATCACTGTCCCTGGCCTTATTCTATTTCAGACCCCTGTCCCTGGTGGTGCACCATTGTGGGAATGGCATGGCCAAGGGTGGGGTGCAGAGAAATTCAAATAAGTAAAATTGTATATTGTGAATATTCAGTTGCTTCAAAACATCTCATCATGATCCAAAGCTAGGGGTACATAGCACTGCTGCTCAGGCGCAGAGTATCTCAGTTAGGGAAATTGAAAGGTCCTGATGGGATTCTAAGGTGATAATTTTTACACCCTTCTCTTTCTCCTTCTATCCACATTTCTTCACTAATGATTGAAAATATGGCAGCCAGAACCGGACACAGTACTGCAGATGTGGTCTCTCCACTTTGTGGACAGCACAGGCTTTGAAGTCAGATGGAATCTGGGTTCTAATCCAGGCTACACTGTTAATGTTGAGTGACTGTGGTCAAGTGTGATGTCTGAGCCTGTTTCGTTATCTGTTAAAAAAAAAAAAAAAGACAATACATGCTGTAGAATAATACCGTAAAAATAAGTAATGTGTTCTTGCATTAAGGGTACACTCCAGCAGTTTTTAGAAAAAAAACCCTATATATCTTCTTCTTATGTTGTCTTTGTTTTTACTTAAATTACTCGCTTATCTACTGAATGACGCAGGACCAAATACAATGCCTCTTTGGGGTTAACAAGATTGGCATTTTAAATATGGTTGTTCATTTATAACTATTCCAACGTGATTTTATTGTCTTCCACCTTATCCACATAGATAACATAGTAAATGAAGAAATAGTGTTTGAGAGTTGGTGCTCTTGAGTCAGACATGGTGGGTTCAAATCCCACTTCTCTCACCAGCTGTGAGATGCTGGTCAAGGTGCTTAAATGGACCAAACTTCAGGTTCTTTGTGTCTGAGGCAGGCATACCAGTGGTATCAACTTGGGACCTACCAAAGATTTGCTATGGATCCGCCATTATTCGTAAGTACCTTTCAGTAATAAAATACCCTTAGCCTATACCCTACTGTATACCTATAGTTAATTTGGCATGAATGCTGGCTCCTAGACTTCATAGTCTTTTAAAAGTGGCCATGAGTCACTTACAGGTCTGAGTACCTTCATTACCCTTCGCTAATACAACCACAAATGTGTTTATTAATCTTTGCCCAGGCTCTGTTGTTCTCTTCTTCTAATCCCACCCATACTGAAGTCTAGTTCACAATCTTCCCTGATGACGTTCTTCCCAGTCTGTGTTTCTGGAGCATTTCACAACATTTACACATTCTCCAACACCTATCACTGCTAGGCATTATCTTGATTTGGGTGAGTGACTCTTTGCGGCCTCTGACTTGGAACACAGGATCATGGAAATAGAAACTGTCATGTGCATTAATACCTGAGTCTTGCCCTGCTTATCATAGGGAACCTGAATAAGTTTAGGGAGCAACTGAAAAAGTGAATGAATCCACTTTCTAGAATTTTTGTTCAATTATCTGAATCAAAATAACTGATCTCGATTTTTTGCTTTCTTGTCCTTCTTAACAATTTCCTAAAGTTTCAACTTATTCTAGATTATCTACTTGGGTCTATTTTATACGTATATTTTACACCACATTTTGTATTTCATTTCTTCTTTTCACATTTGGTTATATGATTTTCTTCCTACTTCTGTATATATATTTAAATCTAGGGTCATCTGAGAGCTTCCTGTATGGCTAAATGTGAATTTCTCTGGCTGTCTATACCTTTTTTTCCACAACTGGGAACATTTATGATTGTATAGTGTTTTTTTTTTTTTTTCAGAACTTTACATTCCTCTTAGATGATATTTTCTGTTGAGTCTATGCTTGAGAGGGATCTGGGACCTGCTATTTTCTGTGTTCTAAGAGATACCAGTTAGGTTCCACACCAGTTAGCCATTGACACATTATACTCCCGGGCAGAGAAGTCTGCCCAGGGAAAGAGGCATAATGTGAGTCTGAGAAGCTAGGAACTGAGGGTCCTCTGTGAGGCTATGTGTTACTTGCTCTGGCCTCCCCAGGCTTTCTGCCCAAGAGAAGATTCCACACCACTGGAAGCTGGAAAGCAGGGCCACCCTCCCAAAACCTTGTGATGGACCTGGGCTCATCGTCATTCTAGCCCATCCACCCCGCACATCATTCTCCTTGGCAGTCTCTTCTGTTGGACCTCTCTCTTATCTCTTCATCTCTGTGTGCATCTCTCTCTCGATGCCTTCCTCTCTCCATCTCTCTCTCTCTTTCTGTCCCTTTCTCTCTAACTCTCTAACATCCATACTTTTATTTCTACATTCCTTTAAATAATATTTTTCTTACCTCTTTTTGCTCTTGTATTTCCTTTCAGAGTTTCTAGCCATGGATTCACGCCAGCCTTTTTATGAACTTCTGAAAAATCTGTTTTCTTAACGTCTAGAATGCACGTCTGACTATGCCCACTGTTTCCTTTCTTCACTGTTATGACTTCCAAGATGACTTGATTTCTCCCAAGGTTCATATAACTTTTACTCCAACAGTGAGTGTCCTTGTTAGTTAGAATTAAATACTGAATAGCAATTTTCCGTGCTACTTCCTCCACCCACCATAAGATGAAATTGTCAATAAAGAATGTCAGATGTTCTGCTTTCCACAGAATGTTTCCAGAGTCGAATCCCCTTCTTACTGTTACCTACTGCCTCTGAGCCAGTCTACACTTTCAAAAGAGCCGTCCTCTATACCTTCTACCGGGCCAGGAATTCTGTCCTACATGTCACAATATCATCACATGTTTCTCTCCCTTTTATCCACCCTTGAATGTTTTCCATCATTCTTTAAATTCATGGCATTTTGTAAATTATGTGTATTTTTTTGAAAAACATGATTAACATTCCATAGGAGGTATATCTGGTGAGCAAAATTTACCTTTTCATGGTCTTACATTGGTCATGAATTTCATGCCATCCATATTTGGAGATGTTTAATTTGTGGATTATAAACTACTTGAGGTCAGAAGCCATGTGATACACATCTTTGTATTTTCAGAGGCTAGAATAGTCCGGAAACATATCCAGCATGAATCTGCTAAACTGACCCAATGCTTGTTTTACAATTACAAATTTAATGGACTTCCCCCGCCTCTATGTACTGTGCACAGATGAATAAATACGTGAGGCCTTAAGTGACTTCCATATCTTCTGATTTTCCCTGAAGATAATCTAATACTTCTTCCATAACTGCTTTCTGTCTGTTTTTATGGAATGATACACGAGAATTTTGTTGGGATTTTCCTCTCTAGCTCTATACTTTAACTTAAAGAGCTTTTGACCAGCCATTATTAATGAGAAGCATCAATGTGCATGGAACTACATTAAGTGTTCTATGAATATTATTCTTAATTTTACAACAGCCTTACCAAATAGATATTAGTAAGTTAATTTCTTTTATTAGTATGTATATATACTATATATATATATAGAGAGAGAGAGAGAGAGACAGAGACAGAGACAGAGAGACATTGATGTTGAGATTCCGGTTAAATGACATACTCCAGCCAACATAGCTTATCAAGTAAAAGAACCTACCAGAATTAGGTCTGAGTGGTTCCCAAGCTCGTGAATTTCTTCTTCTAGTACCTTCTGTTCCACCTGGCTGATTGGTCAAGCCAATGTTCTTAGCTTGACAATGTAAGGTAAACAAAACTAGATTGAATGTCAGCTCCTGGTTCTGCAAAAGGAAATTTCCATTGTGATTAAAGGTAGAGTGACTCTTAACATATGACACTATTTTGGGAAAAACCATGGCTGCCAGTAGTGGCACCATGGTGGCTTCAAAGACAGAATGTGTAGCTTTACCCTTTATCTCTGCCATGGCAGACAGAGGGGTAAGATAAAAAAAAAAAAAAAGCTAGAGGCAGCTCTTTCACTCTGCTTTCTGCCCCAGCAAGAGGGTAAGAGAGAATGATTCATCCTCTCTTTACTATTTCGATCTTCCCCAGACTATCGTTGTAGGGCTATTGGCACTGTGGTAGTCTCGGACCACTGCTCAAGCAGGCAAGAAAGATATGTTTTATTTTGATATAACTCAACCTAATTATTATTTTGACCTCCTAATCTGCTGGCATGACAAAAACGGAATTGGAGTTATTTTAAGAATTCTGATCTCACTTCCGCCCTTCTCTCGGGGTTATGTCTGTTTCTGGGACATAAATAGTACTGAGGTTGGGGTAAGATAGCCGTATGGTCTATCTCTTCCTCCAGAGGCTGTCTTTTGACCATACCAGCCTCTGATGACACGTCTGTCACTCAGCTGGTCCTTCAGCAGTCTGCATCAGTGATGGCACAGGTACATCTTTTCAACCACTTTTATTCAACTAACATTCATTGAGTGCCCACTGTGTACAAGACATAATATGGATTCAGTCCTTCATATATGAGACAGATGGGGCAGAGGAAAGCTGCCTTCTCCACACTGCGCGTGGGCCCATGGGTGGGGAGGAGCACCAGGGACAAGGACTAGAGTCACTCTAAGAATGCAGAGTGAGGAGGGGAGTGGCCCATGAGAGACTGAGTCTAACGTGTACGGCAGAGCAGGTGGACCATGAGAAAGCTCACCATCTTTACCCTAAAGATAATGAAAACCACTGTATGGTTTTAAGCCTAGACTAGTGTGTTCTGATTTCAGTTGCTAAAGTCTCACTCTGGCTGCCTGCACGGCCATTGTTTAGAGAAAGACGAAGGTCAGTCAGGAGGTCATTACAATTCTCTATGCAGGAAGCGATGGTCTGTTAGAGAGAGTGGAGAGTCGCAGATACTTCGGGACGAAATATGCAGGATGGCATGGATGCATACAGAGTAAAGATGGCGGGGTGGGTGGGGGGGGGAAGGTGGGCCCATTGGGAATCACTTATGTGCTTTTTCTTTTTTCCCTGCCCAGGGCTGCATAAATCAAACAAACAAGCCCAGGAAGTTAGAGACTTAAAGTCTAGGAAGGAAACTTGACAAATGTTTTAAAAAAATAGCCAATATTTATTGACATTTAATAAGTTCTGAGAGCTCTTTGCATATATTAATTAATCTGATTCTTAAATTATCCTGAAAAGATGATATCAGGATAATAATACTCATTTTATAAATGAGGAAAAAAACCAAAAGGAAGCAGGGAATCTAGTCAGGCCTGAGGGCCTGAGTAGCAGTGAGAAAAGCCTTCACGGAGAGTTCACTCTTGAAAGATAACTGATGGGTATTCCACAGGGAAGAAGAGCGGCATCTGAGCTAAATAAATGACCACATGAGTTCACAAAACCATTGATCTAAGCCACATTTTGGAACAATACAACTAGAACAAATAAAAGGCAAAGTGGTAGGAGGCAGAGACTCCCAATTCGATTTACCTCTGATTGCTGTGCATGTTTGGGTGAGTCACAGAGTTCTCAGTAAGTGAAGAAGTTCTTGGAGATTAATGACACTGACCATGGTAACAATGAACCAGGAGCTAGAGGTTTAAATAATCCCCTTCATTATACTTAAATAATATAAGAGGAAAGAGGAGAAGAGGGCAAATATTTAGATAAATGTGACTTTTGAGGTTATAACTGTTACATTTGGTTATATTAATTCACCACTCTAAGGACTGGAAAAGTCCAGAAGAGTAGGAAACAGTTTTCAAATTCACTTCATTAGACTGTATTGGTTTACTAACTATCTCCTGAACATTAGCAGGCATTAGCTTTGGCTTTATAGAGCCCAGTGAATGTTGTCGTACCATTTGGACAGGATTCAATTATTTATTAAGTTCCACAAATTTCTCCCCTGACAATGTGAACAGCATGTAGTGATGGGGAATCAAGTTGTACATGAGAAGTTAATTTGAAGGAATGAACGACTTATTTAATCTGCCTTCCTCCTGCATTGATGATCCCATCATCCTTTTCCCAACACTGTGGCTTTAAGGAAGACTCTTCTGGTCTTTCCTTCCATTTCCTCAAATCCACTGCATTCGAGTTCTGAAGACACTACTGTTGTCTCTTATTGATGGACACCAGGTGCCAGCAAAACACCAGGTAGAAGGACCTTCCTCAGACAGAGCTTATTAGGTTTGACTTCGTCTACACATTGTTGCCTCACTTTCTGTCTCCTCAAATTCAATCATCTCCTCAGGGGACTGCCCTTGACCTTCTCTCTAAAGCAGCCCATAGGCTCTGTCTCTGGGGCTTTGTATCATGGCTTTTGTGGCCCTGGGCACTTTTACCTTTGTGGCCCTTTCCTCCATAAAAATGCATTTAAAAATTATATTTTACCACTGCATTGATATAAAGACAAATATATAGTAAATAATGTCTTTGACCTAGCAGCTTATGTTTTTCTTCTTATTTTTTTAATGTTTATTTATTTTTGAGACAGAGAGAGAATGAGCGGATGAGGGGCAGAGAGAGAGAGAGAGAGAGAGATTCACAGAATCTGAAGCAGGCTCTAGGCTCTGTTCTGTCAGCACAGAGCCCGATGTGGGACTTGAACTCATCAACCATGAGATCTTGCCCTGACCTAAAGTCAGACACTCAACCAACTGAGCCACCCAGGTGCCCCTCTTCTTATTTAAAATAAAGTAAAGCATTATTAGGTGGTCAGTGCAATGATGTCACAGACTCCATTACCTTAATCACTGTTCCATTGCCCGCACTTTAGAAAAATATCTGGAATATTGTAGTCTTTTTTTTGTTTTGTTTTGAAGTTTTTTAAAAAAAATTTTAAATTGTAGTCTTAATAAATGCTTATTGGATGAATCAATGAATGAAGACTTTCTCTCTTTTCTTGAGTTTCTTCCTTTGGCTCCTATGACTACTCTTTCTCAGTCGTTTCTTTTTCTTCCTTTTTGTCTCCTCTTCTTCCATCTTCTCTTTACATATAGTCTTGATTTCTCTCCAGAGTTCCAGACTCACACTTTTGCTGGATATTTTCACATGGTTCTCTCCACAGAACCATCTTCTCAACATATAGGAAACAAACTCACCAGTTTCTCTGGCTCTCCTTAATGTTATTATTACATCATCGTTATCATGACTACTGTTACTGGCATCTCCATAATGGTAATGCCATCCTTATCTTTTGAGTCTCTCATGCCCCATAGATGGAAATCATCTTCAGATTCCCCTTCTACTTTATACCAGGTCCAATTTGTGCCCAGATTTTGCTAATTCTGTTCTTACCATTTCAACTATATCTTCACCTTCACATTGACACTGTCCTTGCTCTTGACCTTAGGTAAGACTTGCTGGTAGAAGCACACTAGTCCCAACCAGTCTCTGGGTCTCTTGCCTTTCCTCTTCCCTATTCTAGTAGTCACACTTCTTTCTAGAAAGTCCCCTTGGTTAAACTATATAGTTGATGCCCATCACCTACAACAAAGTCGATTCTAAACCCCTTAATTCAATAGTCAATGTTTTGGCTCCAACTTAAATGCTTAGCTTTTTGTCCACCATGTAAACAAACCCTATGGTGTTCCCACACCACACTACTCTATAGTTCCAAAAAAAGGGATACTATAATTTTATGCATTCTTTTTTCAAACTATTCTTTTGGCCGAGAAAGCCACTCCCCTCCCACAACATATGTGCATCTAAATGTGCCACAAGAGCACAGAACACTAGTAGGTAACACTTAGATCTTAATGCTATGCCCCTCCCTGGCACTAACACAGGGCTTTATACAGAGGAGGAGACTGGTAGGTATTTATTCAGTGAAACTTAAAATGAATGAAAAGAAAGTAAACATAAAGGCCTTGGTTTTTACCATGGTATCATATTTCATGTCAAAAGATGATTTTAACTTTTTAAGAAGAGTAAAAGCAACAACCAAACAGTAGTAGTCAATTCAGGCGAATCTACTTACATCGGTATCATTCTGTATCAGAATAATCTAAGCTGCACAGCCAGTTAGCATGACAAACTCAGGCAAAACTAATTTCAACGTGGATGAATATTTCCATTTCAGATTCTTAATCTAATCAACCTGAGTAAATTAATCAGAAACATCTGCCTTGTGTCAAGAAATGCCTCGATCGCTAAATCAGTTTTAATGAGACAAACAACTAATTATATTATACCTCTAACACAAGACAAGGAAAGGTTAGGGTACATTAGGAATAATGGGCTTTTGTGTAAGAAAACACAGATAATGTGAAATGATCATTCAACCATCTAAGGATTTAGCAATGAACTTTATGATAAAAGGTATGATACATTCCTTTTCTTGTTAAACCTGAAGTTTTCTTATTTTTATGGAAAAAAACAAGAACAATTTTTTTTGTGTGGAAATTTTGGATATCACGGGCAGATAAAAGTAAGAAAATGAGAAGAATACTACTACTACTACCCAGAGAAAAATCACTGTTTATATTTTCTCATAGAAATTTCTAGTCATTGTTTTGTTTTGCCCTTGTGCATGTGTGTGCGTATGTGTATGTGTGTGTTGTGTATGTGTTGTGTGTGTATGCATGCATGTGTGAGATCATATACTCTTCTGTGTGTATAATGGAATTTAGATCATAATATACATAATATTTTTAACTTCCTTAGTTTTTGACAAGATGCTATGCCATTAAATATTTTTCTAAAACATTATTTTTATTAGCTGAATAATAATCCTTTTCATTACTGTGCTATTCCCAGAATGTTTTGGTCTTAGACTCTTGTAAACAGTGCTTTGAAACGAATCTTATACTTTATTTTATATATACACTATTTTTTTAAAATCCCTTTTAGGTAAATTCCTATGTGTGCATAACAGCACCAGAGATCTATAAAATATTAAGTCTTTCGTAAGTACAGTCGAACTTGTCACAGATCTCTTATAACAAATCACATTAACATGAGCATTCGCACAATCAATCAAAAATGATATAAGCATATTTTACAGGTAAGACTGAGTTATTAAAATGCTAATTCATCATTTGTGTTTCTTCTTCTGTGAGCTTATGCATATATCATTTGAACATTGGTCGATTGAAGCCATTTTTCTTTTCCTTTTTTCTTTCTCTTCTTTTAACTGTTTGTTTGATTATTTATTTATTTATTTAGAGAGAAAGAGTAGGAGCAGGGCAGGGGCCGAGAGTGAGGAGGAGCACCTCAAGCAGACTCCACACCCAGCCCAAAGTCCGATGTGGGGCTCCATCTCAGGAACCTTGAGATCATGACCTGGGCTGAAATCAAGAGTCCGACGTTTAACCGACTGATCCACCTAGGCGCTCTGAATCTACCATCTACCTTTATTAAATCTCAAGAATTTTCCATACTTATTCCAGTCTTTTTTATTTTTTTTTAAGCTATAATAGCTTACATATAAAAGTGCAAGCCCTTGTAAACCTCCATTCTGAGACAATCACCTCTTACCACCTGATGGGAGTCATATTACTTCCTTTGTTCCCGTGTACTTTTGATATTATTGCAGTTGTAGGTATTTACATACTTATAAATTACAAAGTTCAGGCTGATAATATATATCATCAGCGATGGATCTGACTCATAGTGTGGAATTTAAAGTTCTGTATCTACATTTATAAATGAAATTGGTTTATACAAACTTTTTCTTATGCTTTCATTTTCTGGCTTTGATAGTAAACTTATACTGGCCTCATACTTAAGATAGCTTCATTTCCTCCTCTTTTTGCTGTAAAATATTTTGTTTAAGAAATGGATTATGTGTTCCTTGAAGTTTTGACAAAAATTTACCTACAATAGTAAGTCTCTGTTGCATCTACAGCTATATTCATCCATCCATTTCTAATGGTATTTATCCCTTTTCTCTCTTTTCCTTCATAATATTCGCTAGACGATTTTTCTTCGGTTTATTTGGGACATTACTTTTTTTCTGTCCTGTATGTTACAAATATTGTTTTTCTACTTTGTCACTCAAGTATCAATTTTTTATGGTGTTTTTTCATATAAAACAATTTTTAAACTCATATCTTTTTCATATTTGTTTATTTAAAAGTACTTATAGGGGCGCCTGGGTGGCTTAGTCGGTTAAGCGTCCGACTTTTGCTTAGGTCATGATCTCGCGGTTGGTGGGTTCAAGCCCTGCGTCCGGCTCTGTGTTGACTGCCAGCTCGGAGCCTGGAGCCTGTTTCAGAGTCTGTGACTCCCTCTTTCTCTGACCCTCCCCTGCTCATGCTGTCTCTCTCTCTCTCTCTCTCTCTTCCAGAAATAAATAAAACATTAAAAAAATAAATAAATAAATAAAAGTACTTATATATCTTCTTTGCTTTTTATTTATTGTTCAAATTTAAACACATAGTTTCCTTTCAGGACAATTTTAAACGAATTGCACGTAATTATTGATGTTTTCCAGCCTGATTAAATTACTTGAAATCCACTTTTTAGCACACACTGGTAACTTTTTCATTTTCAAGTTCTCCCTGAGTTTCCCTGGGCTCCCCTGGAACGAGGGGTTGTTCTAAATGGTATCCATGAACCTGAATCATCAGAGAAAATGGCAAAGAACTGACAAGCTAGAAAACTCACCAGAAGGATATTTGAATATAAATCAAAACTCCTTGAAGCAGAAGTTACAGAATTGGAAGTTCCAGTCAGTGTTCAGATAGAGGACAAGGCTGAGCCTTAGGAAGTCAGCGCACACTGCAAGCTGATATGGGTCAAGTCCAGAAGCCAGCAATCTTTCTGGAGAGGTCGCCATAGTTGCTTAGGTAGCAAGAATTGGCAATGGTTTATTTTCACTGCAGGAACTACACTAACCTGGAGGTCACGGACTCCTCCCTCAACCTGGGGTCTCACATAAAGGGGTGGGGGGAGAGACATGAGAGATAGCCTTTGAATTTAAGTGAGAATTTACCCAAGAGAGATCTTTAAACCAGAAGTGACTGAATTACCTCAAGGCGGCAAGATTAAAAGTTTTGCCATGAAAGAAAATGGAAGCTTCTGAGTTAAATTAAGTTCAGTGACAAAGAAATACCAAAAGTTAGATATTTGCCCTGACAAGTATTTAGGCCATGAAATCATGCGGATAAGAAAGCTTTCTTTAGTAGAAACAGTTTTTATGGTCTCTCTGGCTCATCAAGACCACATGGCAAGCCTCAAATATTTCTTCCATTTCCTTTTCCAAAAAATATTTATTGAGCAGCTAATAAGTATGATAGTTTGTGTCCTCAAGAGAATTAGTGAAATGAGATTGGGAGATTGGTAGTGGCCTGTGATAGGTCCTGCAGAAGAGAGTCCTACCTGAGCACAAGGAAGAGGTGGTTAAACCCTGAGGAAAGAGGTATGATTTGGGGAAGCCATCTGACAGGATGCGACATCACTTAAGCGAGAAGAAGAAGAAGAAGAAGAAGAAGAAGAAGAAGAAGGAGAAGGAGAAGGAGAAGGAGAAGGAGAAGGAGAAGGAGAAGGAGAAGGAGAAGGAGAAGGAGAAGGAGAAGGAGAAGGAGAAGGAGAGGAAGAAGAAGAAGAAGAAGAAGAAGAAGAAGAAGAAGAAGAAGAAGAAGAAGGAGGAGGAGGAGGAGGAGGAGGAGGAGGAGGAGGAGGGGAAGAGGAAGAATAAGAAGAAGAAGGAGAAGAAGAAGAGGAAGGGGGAGGGGAAGAAGAAGAAGGAGAAGAAGAAGGAGAAGAAAAAGAGGAGGAGGAGGAGGAAGAGGAAGAAGAAGAAGAAGGAGAAGGAGAAGAAGAAGGGGAAGAAGGGGAGGAGGAAGAGAGTTCCTGG